ATATATATATATATATAATCTGTAGTAATTCTATTTCTACTCCCTCCCACTCGAACCTCCTTACACGGCACATTTCCTCCTACGCCTAAGCGAAACCGCGACGTGTGGTGTTCCTCCCTAGTGCCCATCGATCAATTACAAGTGATTCGAATATTCAAACTCGCCGCCACGTGATCCAGAACGAGGTTCTCCAGAGTCGGCAGCATCTAGAGGTCCAGGAGGTGCCGATCCATGTAAGCCACAAGAGCGCCATCCAGGGGTACAGAGAGCAACCGCACGGTAGACGACCACTGGTAAGTCATTATCTACATTATTTCTATACGCGCGAAACTACGATTAAATCCTGCGACTGTCCGACCCACCGTAAGGTTACACTACGGTGGTTATACTACGCGTCTTGCGCGAAATCCATCGCGATTACTCTTGATCGCACGGATCCCCGGGTAGAATCACGTGATTCGTTTAGCCCGAAAAATTGCGATCTGATCCCGTGCTAGGGTTCGAGCGCTATTCTTCACGGCAGCATGGCCGCAACCCGCCGGGACGTAACACTATACTAATAGCATGTTCGACTGACTCTGGGTTAACCCACTCTGGGTTATTCAGCCTGCGTTTATTAGTCGAACAAGTACTTATGAGCTTTATAATTGATTAGTAGAGACTTATGACGTCATTAATCGCTCTCGGAGCGATTAACCTAGGGCCAGTCGAACATACTATAAACTAGATTGCTAAAGCCAGCGGCACACGATGCTTGTTTTCGTGTTGGATTGCTTGCTAGATGGAAATATTCTATTTTGATTGGTCCGTCTTTAGAAATACACCAATCAGAACACAATATTTCCATCCAGCAAGCAATCCAGTATGAAAATAAGCATCGTGTGCCGCTGGCTTAACAAGGGTTTTGAACGTGTGTCGCGTAAGGTTTCCGGTTGCATGCGAGAAAATGGCGACGTTCTTCCGTGTGTGTGTGTGAGTGGTATGTATGTGTGTGTGAGTGGTATGTATGTGTGTGTGACGTTGTGTGTAACATATCACTTGTGTGAGTCACTTACACGTACAATAGGTGCTTTCCAATTGCTTAATACATCTTGATACACAAAATCAGTGTATTGATCACATATTATCTAAAATATCTTGTAAGATAATATGCAACCAATAAACTGGTTTTGTGTAACAGTGTACGCAACTGGAAAGCACCCAATGTGAGTCAGCGTGGCCATTAAATTACTGTCGTAAAACCAAAAATGCCAGCATCTTATTGCATCAAAAAATGTCGTAACCAAAAAATAGTATTGGGCGTTATTTGCTCTGCTCATTTTCAACAAAAAAATTTTATGATTAAACGTAGTGAAAATATGTAGCGGTAGCGGCTATTTTTTCGCATGCACCGGAAACTCTATCGGACAAGCCGTTATATGTTTTTAGATAGCCTGTTAGCAACCTAGTTTAGTATAGACATCTGTGATAATGTAACACGGGCTTTTAGGCTGCGTTCAGGGGCTCGATTCTTGACGGTGTACGAATGAGATACGCATGCGAAAATGTATAGTTCACGTTACGTATACTAGATTTTCGCATGCGTATCTCATTCGTATATCGTCAAGCATCGGGCCCTAGATTCTTTAACCGGGACTGCGTTCCGAAATGCACTGCCAGTATTGAAAATCTATAGTTCATGTTACGTATATTATAGAATTTCAGTACTGGCAGTGAATTTCGGAACGCAGCTATTATTAGAAACACTATGGCCGATATTCATAGTCGAATCTTATTTCATGACCGTCTTAAGTAATGTTTTAAGATGCGAATACGGCTCGGTGATTGGTTCATGACATCTTAAGACAGTACTTAAGATGATCTTAAATATTGGCTTGGTTTACATCGTGCACTTGATATGCGTACTAAATAGTAACTTTCTATTAGATAATCTTAATATCGATGATATTAATAATCAATGGTATATTAAGCTGGTATAATACTCATCAAGAAAACGTATTGTATTGATTGAATGCGTTGCCGTTGATATGCATTGTCAATATTAAGATTATCTAATAGAAAGTTACTATTTAGTACTATTTAGTACGCGTATCAAGTGCACGATGTAAACCAAGCCTATGACATGATTCGCATTGGTCGGGGCGATCTTGTACTACGCATATGCGCTTATGAAAATTCGTCGGATAGGCCTTTAGATGTAACGCAAATAACGGGTCCAAGGGAGATTATTGGACTCGTTATTTCTCTGTGCGCGTGACATTACAAATGAAAGGAGATGTACGTTTCCAAGAGATATGAGCGTCATTTGTAAGTAATTTTTCTTTACGTGGGACAATTCGATAAGCTTCATTAATAATTTTAGCATTGCACAGATTTAATCTTTTATTTATGCGGAACCACATTATAAAGAACGGACAAACGAAATTTGAATTACTATCCGAAAAGATATATGAAAGTGATTCTGAAATCATAATTAAAAATATCATCCCATTGTGAATTAATGGCTGGGTTCCATTTTTACTGCCAGTACTGAAAATCTATAGTATACGTAACGAAAACTGTAGATTTTCAGTATTGCCAGTAAAAATGGAACACGGCCAATATCTATAATATACGCCGCAGTGCTTGATTAGCGTTTCCCGCTTCACGTTCATCGCCGCTCGCTGGTAGCGGCCATCTTGCGCGCAAGCGTGCCCGTAATTTATAATCGTACGTACATATTTTACCGATTCGTTTTCGTGCAATATGGTTATCGCGATTCATGATTTTTTCTCTCAATGTCTGTTTTGATCCACTTTTATTTGATGATGATACAAACAAACCGAGACGCTACATGATAGAAGAAAAGAGATTGACTGCAGTGGTTGGGAGAGAGGGAGTAAGAGGAGAATGAGCGGAGTTTGCGCTCTGCCAAGTTCGCAAGCAGAGGTAACGCTATATGCCACACAGCCGTGCATCGTCATCCCTGCCGAAATTACGACATATCCACGAAACCACGTTCATTGCAAGCAATCGTACACTGCATCTGGTAAAACGTTCGAATGTGGAGGAGGTTATGAGATCGCAGATACGAACGTATAGGTCATGCTGTCGTAAATAATGCGAATACGCATGCGCGCAACATCAACTCAAAGCGAGCTGGAGAAGGCAGAATGTACCGCCGGCCGGTGAAGTGAGAGGCAGATACATGGGGACTAGTTCCTGATTGGCCACGGCGGCTGTTATGGCCGCCGATTAGCGCACGCGCACGCCACAGTAGGCATATCACGGACGCGGCGATCGTACAGCCGCTAGCCGCAGCAGCGTTGCAGTCGCTCGAGCGACCGAGAACAGTGAGAAGAGCGACGGAAACGGTCGGTCCGCGCGCGTCGTCGTCGTTGCCTTGTAAGGCGGAGAGAGCTTCGTGTGCGACGTTCGTGGCGCGAACAACTCTGAGAACGACGCCGATCTTCCTTAGCCGTAGCGAGTAAAACGTACGAACGAGTGTGTATACTCATATCTATATACACACACACGCACGCATTATATATATACACATACCTATATATATATATATATTATATATATATACACACATAGTGAAGCATCACGACAAGGGAAGGAGTGCGGGCCGGGCGCGACGCCGACCGTCTCTCGACAGAACCGCGTATACGTAAACCCGACAATCCGTCAAAATTTAAAGCCACTATAGGCGACATTTTCAACGATCTATATTGTGTATACCAGATCTTAGACCGATAAATTATAAGCGCGAGTGCATCGCGAACAGGATAAGAGGATACGAAGATAGAAAATTTGGTGCGGCACGCACGAAGTAGAGAATCGTGGCAGAAGGTGAGCGCGCGGCGTGAGAGCAAGACAGACAAAGGGGGGGAAGCGAAAGGGAGAGAGAGAGAGAGAGAGAGAGAGAGAGAGAGAGTAAGGGAGACAGACGGAGAGGGGAAGAAAGAAACGAAACGGAGCGAGTTAAAACGCCGAACGGTACGCAGAAAGCACAAAGGCCGTAGCAGCGACAGCGACGACGACGACGACGACGACGACGGCGGCGGCGGCGGCGGTGGTAGTGGTGGCGGCGGTGCTGATGCGACGACGGCATAACCTCCAAAAGGCGTTCGCGCCGCGCGTTTCGGTGATTGCTGCGCGAAGCAGTGGTGCGTGAAGTCACGAGGTATTCGAAACGATATAGAGAGAGAAAAAGAAAGAAAGAAGAAGAGAATATATTTTTGCAAGTGTGCGGCTTACGAGTCATCTTACGCGATCGACAAACGTTCATCGCTCTTGTATTCGAGTAGTTAGCGTATCGTTTGGGCCGGACTGCAGAAAGACATACATGTGCAACGTCATCATCATCATCGTTACGTGTGGCAGCATCAAGTAGCTTCGACATTTATCAAACGATGCAGCAGACTATAAATCGGCAGTGAATAGGAAAGAAAGAGAGAGCGTGTGGGAGAGAGTTGTTTGCTCTTCGAATTTTCCAAGTTTTTCGATGCAATAAAATACTGGTATACGAGTACGCCTAAATACATATGTAGTAGTGTGTGTGCGAGGAGAAGTGCGTTACGTCGGACTGTCGTTTTTCGTCGTTACAAACACGTTGGTAAACACGTTGGTAAACACGTAGCGACAGTTATTGCACGTACAAACACACATACATCCATACGACCAATACGTTGGCCGACTGCTGATTATTGCGCGGACTGAGTCCGGTTGATGGATGAAACTGGCAGAATGTTGCAACACGGAGGATCGGGTGTGGGTCTGATGGGTGGGAACCAGGGCCAAGCGACACAGAACACGGCTGGTTACGGCAGCATGGGTCCTGTAGACGGCACGGCGGCCCAAGGCCCCGACCAAGCGGTCGAGGCCAGGAAGCAGGATATTGGCGAGATTCTGCAGCAGATCATGAACATCACGGATCAGAGCTTGGACGAGGCGCAAGCTAGGTAAGTCTTTTGGATGCGTTCCGCCATTTTTTAATGTACGTGCGCGCGGGACGCGTCTTTTAATCTCGCCACCTCTGTTGTCGTTCGAAAAATTTGTTTCCCGTCGTCTCCGTAGATGCATTTTCACACCTTTCTTTTCTTTCTATAGTATCCAAATAATCCCCGATATGTTTCGCGCACGTTTCACATTCACGACGTTTATTTTCACGCGGGCACGAGTGTCGTGGTGCTTGATTGGTTGTTGCGACGGTGAAACGTTCGGAACGTCGGAGGTCGTCAATGATAGGTTGAAGTGGAAATTATGTTTACGGCTCGTTAATCGGCGGATTAAAAGGTTTAATGGTACTTTCGATTTACGAGGTCGACTCGTTACTGGGGGGAAGTACCGTGTAAACGAAATTCCCATAAAACCAAGACGGTGCTCGCGTATAAAACGCGGGGCATGCTTTTATTTTCAAGTTTCAAGTTACGATAGTTGACGGACACGGCATTAAAGACCGCGTAGATTACTGCCAGGTATCGGACGTGTGTATCGCTCCTTCTTGCAATGTCACGCAAGAAGCGCACTCCTGTATCTATTTTCTCCATCCCTTTCCTCCTTCCTAGTGAAATTGGAGGAAAGAAAAATGTGCATGAAAACATCAATGCCTGGACACTGATAACTGGCATCTAATTCTGAAATTCTCATCGTTTTAATCTTTAAATATTTAAACTAGCGCTACGTATATAATTATCGAGAGTCGTATGTATTTTGCGAATACGCGCATTGTTTACTTGCGTATCGATTTCTTTATCACATATCTCGATAAATATACTCGATATCCTCGATGATAATTCAGTCAACAAAGCCTCATGCTCTCACGTAAAGTTTCAAGTCACAGCGATATAAGCGAAATTCGAGCGTTTCGCTTTGTTTCAAGTCAAGTATCATCCCACTCTGAAAAATTAACGGAGACTGCACGGTCTGTCCGAGAGATCGATGGCGCGCATTGTAAGCGAGTAAACAAATATCAGGAGCACACTTTTGTCATAAAATGACGTTCGTGTGGAACATATTGCTCGGCAGACACGCGCAACTCGAGCTCCTTGTATTCGAGTAGTGCATATCGTTTACGCGCGCACACGCGCGTTTAACACGGGCCCGCTCGCGTATTCGCATATCGTTGCGTGTGCGTTAAGTTATATTAAGTACCTGTCCGCGTGTTTGATGTCCCTGCAAAGAGGCACCAGATGTGTCTCCCGCGAATACGTGCATTTTACGGAGAATGGGAGAGCTCTTGTAATTTCACGGCCGGCGTTTAACGCCGGCCATTTGAATACGGTCCTGAATTAAGTTAACGTCCTTATTAATACCGAGCCGCTAATTTCATAGACGGCTATGCGTATGTGCGGTCGATACGATTCGGAGCGGTGCTCCTTCTCCAAATAGACACTTGCCGCCTTTTTTCTTTGCGATGTTTGTTTCGCGTGCGAATTGGTTTCGTGCAGCTCGAAGACACACAATTTTGGAACGAGCCTGAAATATCTCTCAGAATACGATTCGATCGTATCCACACGAGGTCTATTTTTTATAGCTGCATTCTATGAGTTATTGTAATATTTCTTTTTCTTCCTTTTTACAAGAAAATAATTATTATAATTATAGTGTAGAGAATAGATTTATGATTACTATTTCATATAATTTTGCGGATTATAGGCCTTGTAACAGCATTTTCTATCGAAATCTTATTTTTTGAACGCATTTTCTCTGTTATTTATTTTTCTATTTTGTACACTATTTTTTCTCTAGAGTTCGAAAAAATTATATCTGTTGATAATTAAAAAAAATGTTGTTATTATCATCATTATTATTATTACTACTACTTTTTTCGAATAAATTTTTTACTCTTTCTCCTCTCGATCTTTTCTCGTTTCACTTACTCTGTACTAATGATCCTAAATATTTGGTCGTTCACGACGCAATTTCGACGATCGATCATACTGAATCAATGTTCGCTCACACATGTCTCTTTTTCTTTTGCAGAAAACACACTCTCAACTGCCACAGGATGAAGCCTGCTCTGTTCTCTGTTCTTTGCGAGATCAAAGAGAAGACAGGTGAGCGATTTTATATGTTTCTCCTTTACTCTCTTTTACTCCTTGCTGCAACAGCAACTCCGTCGGCGTTGTTCGCACTTTTTGCCGGCGCTCGAATCGCGCCCGGCTCGACTCATTAAACTTTACGCACGTACGGCCCGCTTATTTTGCGCCGCGCTAACAAATGAATGGAATTTTTAAATGAGTCAATTTCAGCGCGATAAACCCGCACGTTCGTGACGTGCCTATGGCGACGGCCCAGTCGATGGCGGGGTCGGAGAGAGATTCCATCGAATTTCGCATCGGCCCGGCAACGTCGGGCTATTTATATGTGTACGTACGTACTTGACGCGACATGCGGAAATCGAATGTTGCGGGGATGTATTATTATTTCTGCAGCGTCATTGATTATATCTGCGCGACTAGAGTTTCATTCCGTTCCCCTCGCGCGGCGCTGCGAGTTATTGTGCGTCATAAATCATCGGTCTTATTTAAAGCGCTGACTTTCGACCGGTCGTTCGCATGGGATTGATTTTTGAAATGCATTTTTAATGTGAAGTCGCGCTCGGTATCTCGGCGGTAATCTCGTCTGTGATCTCACGATGAATTCGGCTGTTCAACATTGTGGACAGGCGGATGAGAGTCCCGCGTTAATTTCCGCGACGGAAAAGTTACGAATTGTGTTATTATGAGCATCATTTGATTGACAATATGTTAAGGACGACTTAATGAACAGCTAGGCATTATTAATATCTGGTGTGCTTTCGTATGTTGAAATTGCGGCGGTTTTAATCAAAAGTATCAATATCTGGACACCATGATAACATTATCAGTACCAGAGTTAGGCAACTCTGGACATTATATGCGTCTTTAAATACGAATATTAAAAATTTGTAAGTTAAGTACCAATGTTATTACTCTTTTATAGCGAATTGGTAGAAATGTTTCTAATTGAACCATCTCACCGATGATTAGTGGATACTTACTGATTTTCTATGAAAATATTTTAGTGAAAATTTTTCACTTCACCGCTTATACCTCACTGATTTTGACCAGTGTAAGATTTCACTGCAACATGCGTAATATAATACAAATTCGCTATGCCAAATCCAACTTTCTGCATTTGTGACGATGGAATTAACGAGTAATGTAATTATTGCTGTTAACTTTTCGTTGCGACAGTCATCCTCGTCGTTCATAAACCGCGATATATCGAGAAATCGAAAGATCCCTCGATGCACTGGTGCACACATATTCAAAACAAGTACATTCTTCGAAACAAGTTTCCATATTATCCATATCAGTGGCGATCTCTCTCGCTTTCCCTCAAGCGTTCGTAGGGAAAAAAGACAAAAACATTGTTCTTCTAGGTTAGCTAAGCGTTTAAGGAAGTGTTATTATCATTATTATTATATTTGGATTACTTTTACTGGCGAATTAAGAAACCACGAAACGTACAATTATTTTTGGAGCTAATTGGAAAGGAGGAAAGAAAGCGAGGAAGAGAAGAGGTTGCTCTTGCCGACCATGTCAAAAGTTTCTGTCATCCGTCTGGGAATGGAAAGGCCGCACCGCATCCCTCGTGCTAAGCTACCCTCTGTTCACATCAGTTCTTTGCGCTCATACACACGCATATTCAAGTATATACACACAGGCGCGCGCAAGTAGCAGCCACGAGGGCGTCGTTGCGCGAGCAAAAGTGTGACGTCAACATTCGTATGACGTTATACTACTTCGAAAATATTTCGAGAGCACATGGGCTGTGCACCCACGCCAAAGGGGGACGATGTTCTCGTCTTTTTTTCTCTTTTTTTTTTTTTCCCTACCACCGCTCGCGGGAGAACGAGAGAGATCGCCATTGGTCGTTTTCGGAACAACGTGGTCACGATCATCTTTTTGCGGCCGCGTCGGCAGCGCTATGCATCTTTATAACGCGTATTTTATTGCTCTTATTGTTTCTCGCTGGCTCTCCTCCCTTTCGCGATGCGTTACCGGCTCCGGCTATATCGGGATTTTAAACTGCACGCTTTGTCCGAAAGCTTCAAGTCGTTGACCTCGTATCTCGTGTGCAACGCTGTGTCACCGTACCATTCTGAGAGCGTTTATTGCAGCTCGATTAAAAGTAACGTTGTCGAAAAAGAAGTCTATAATAACGCGAATCGCGCGATCGCCAAGAGAAAGTTGGATATTTAGTTCCACGACGAGCGTGTAGAGGAGTTCGATTCTAGTCTATCGTAAACAAAAAGGGCGTCAAAGTATGATGAGCACTCGAGACGATGAATCGTTTTAACGATCCCCTATATATTTTACGAGTTTCGGAGCTGATTGTGTGTGCGCGCTGCATAGTGGTGCCACGCGTTCGCTCGCGCGCGCACGCAAAAAAATGCTGCACTGTGAGAGAAAAAGAGAGAGAGAGAGAGAGAGAGAGAGTTTTCTCGCTCTCTCGTACGAGAGAGAAAAGAGAGACGCGAGATAGTCGTAGTCAAGTTTATGGGCGATGGCTGACGAGGCAGTGAAAAAGTACTAAACCGAGAGGAGCAGATAAACGCTATGTTAAGCAGACCGTTTTACCAGCCATTTAATATAATCGGTTCTCGCGAGCGAGCAGCGCGTCGCTCAGATAACTTCGAATCAGGACCGTACGCGAGATGGGACCTCTGTGTCCTTCGCTTCATTCCGGGGCCTTACCTTTATACCACAAAGGATAAGAATGACAAAATCCGACTTATTATTCATGTTTATGACAGTATATTTACTATAGATACTCACATTACAGTCGTTCTGCTGTTGCTGATTGACTATCAAGGGAAAAGGAAATTTTTCGTAGCATTTTAGAAATGTGCAAAATCGATTGCACAAGTATGATTTTATAGTTATATCTATTTACTTCGTCGTAATTCGACATAGAAATTTTCAGCATGAATTTCCTCACTTTTGACGTCATAATCGAATATGGCCGTGGCGCTCTCTATCGTAGTTATACGATAAGGATCAATTTTACATCAAGTATTGTTGATACACAATTGACAACGATAAATTTCTTTTCGTAATTATACGATAGAGAGCTTTTTTTCTCCTATCGTTGATACATCATTAATTACAACAGATTTTCAATGATTTATTCATGATAGATTCAAAGAAAACGATAAGACACGGTAAAGACATTATGGAAATTCTATCATATCCTAACGATCTTTTTCGGATTTGATGCAGCGAAACGATACATTACGATAGAAAACAATTAGATTCTTTGAAGATCCCATCGGTTTTTATTGTTTTTCATATTTCATATTTTTTTATTACAGAAATTTATTACAGTTTCAATTTGAGCCAGACACGGTGCGACGAAACGACGAGCACGAGCAGCATTTCTCCCCTTAGCACACCCTCTTTCATCCGATTTTCTACAATTGATATGTTATAATCTATATTTTTTGAAAGTTTTAATATTTGTATTTAAAGACCAAAACGACAAGAATGGCCAGAATTATGTACAAATGTTATTTGCGTCCAGATCATTGATACTCTTTTATCTTACGACACTGCATTTATTTGACTCAGGTTGTTCCGTTGAACTTTTTTTTTATGTATTATTCCGGTCTCATTGTGCAACGCGAGATGCGAGTACGTTCGGCGCGAGCAAGCGATTCGTCGTTTAATTCGCATTAATGGTATGTTCCACTTTCTCGAACACTGCGCATAGTGATCGATCGAGCTCTAGAGTCAGTCACAGCCTCCGACCAGCGATTTGTCACGGTCGAATTGGGAGAGGCGCTTCCCGAAGCGCGCTGATCTTCGAAAACCTGTTTCGTTCGGGTCGAGGGGAAAGGGCAGGGGGTATCGCTCAGAGCGATTTCCCGTGGGACGCGCGACGCAAGATCCCGAATACTGAGAGAGACAAACAGACAGACAGACAGAAAGGCCGGCCGAAATCCGCGGGATTTCTCAACTCGCCTTTCAACCGTGCGCGCCCTCCGATCCCTTTTTTCCGTTTCTCGTCGTGTGGACAGAAGCAGCAGCAGCAGCCCTTCGCGTCGCGCAGCAGCTGCATATCAATCCACATTGTCGAAACATTCTCCAAGGACCGGAGAGTCAAGTCGACTGGAATCAAGGAGTGAAAATCCGGTCGGCGTGCAATCGTGAACAGTTATTTTCGGTAATTATCGGCTACGTGGAATCGCCGGACGATCAACTTTCCGACGCGCGAGCGATAAAACAAAATTAATCCACGGACAAACAGATAATTCGGATCTGTTTGAATAATAATCATCCGCGTCGTTACCATTAATCACGATTCGACCAATATTGATTCCGTGCGGCGACGCGACGTGGCACGGTGCTCCGATTGGCTGACTTTGCTCGCGGCTTGTCATCGCACCCGACGCACGTGCGTTTCGCCGCGTCTCTCGCATAGGATGTTACGCGCGTGGAGATTGTCTACCTGTCGATTTACCGACGATTAATTTAATCGCGGCACCGCCATGCCGCCGTGCCTGTCCCCGATTTCTCTCTCGCAGTTTTCAAACAATGGTAATCCGCGCTCGGCTCCTAGCGCAACAATTAAAAATCCATACTCGATTTGGCCGCCAGCCAACGGTAATTCTATTTTCTTTCTCGCACCTATACAACACCGATATCTATGCATGTGTGTGTATGTGCGTATGTTATGTATGCACGCAAAAATTTCCTATTGTCGTTACTCTGGTTATATATGTTTCAACAAACTATTGAGAAAATTTCGCTTCAACGATGTCTCGCGATGATAGTCGGTGAAAAAGGAAAAGAGAGTAAAGGAACTCATTTTATGATAATTTTTTGTAAACTAAAGACACGCAACCCCTTTTGCGTCGCAATATGTGTTAAGGCGAAGAGAGAAAAGAGCTCATGTAAGAGCTCCGTCGATTCTCCGTACATTTCGCTATAACCCAACCGACCGACCTTGATTTCGCGGAGTGCATTTCACGCTGAATTCACCCTCACCCTTATCTCTCGTAATTAATGGTTCCGTTTGCTTCCATTTA